ATGTCATTACGCTGATGTGCACAGGTCTAAGAACGTGTTGTTTTCTTTTAGAATTTTTGTTGTTGTTTTTAAGTTTCTGTGTCTTCTCAAGATTTTCCCCTTTTTTTTACAGACAAGGCTTTCAACTGCCAGAAACCTATAAATAAAGCTGTGTCCAACATCATCTGCTGTTTGGTGTTTGGGCATCGGTTCGAGTACACTGATAAGGAGCAGCAGAGTATTCTGGATAACTTCGATGAGATAGTGCGCTTGCAGGGAAATATGTTGGTGCAGGTGAGCATCTAATTATGTTATTTCAATCTGGATTTATGTAGAACACAGAAGTCAATTGTACATTTTAATAACAACAATGTAAATGCATTCCACCACAAATTGAACAAATACAAAAATGTAAAAACACTCTATTACATGAAAAAATACTGCACTCACAATGCTCTTGTTTAAAAAGTACAACAATATTATTAGCAACAAGTTCTTAGAGTGTTGCATCGAAAGTGTTGAATAAACTGAATTTACTGAAAATGATTTAATGAGACAGAACTCTCTTGTCTGACAGATGATATTATGACTTCTTCCTGACCTGCTCTGTAGATTTACAACACAATACCCTGGCTGATGAAGCGACTGCCTGGACCTCATCAGAAGATATTCACTCTGATCAACGAGAACATTGACTTCGTAAAAATCAAGATCAAAGAACACAGAGAAACCCTCGACCCCTCATCACCAAGAGACTACATCGACTCCTTTCTTATTGAAATGGGAGATGTGAGTGTTTCACTGTGTTTGTAATATGTTTGTTCTTTGTGCCATTCCAATGAAGTTTGTCAACTGACTCACTTGTCTGTCTCTTGTGCCACTAATAGAAGGAGGACAAAGAAGCTGGTTTTGATCTCGACAATTTGTGTTATTGCACTCTGGACCTGTTTGGTGCTGGAACTGAAACTACTTCCACTACTTTACGCTGGGGGCTGCTGTACATGATCAACTACCCTGACATACAGAGTGAGTGTACAAGTAATATCTGCTATGGCTGCATCTTTTGTAAGCATCTTGCTATGACTTTATAGTGGAAATTGGAAAGTTTTGAGGTGGTGTTGTTATGGCCTATGGCCAAAAGGTGTGTGTATGGGACCCAAAACAAAGAGGAAGCAGGGTGAAGGATTAACAGGTTTTATTCAGGGAAACCAGGGAGTGTGGGGCACCGGGAGGTAGGTGAGAGTATCCGGAGCAGGTGTGCTGGTCGTCGTGGTGAGGGGTGATTTCCCGTGCAGGTGTCGGTGCGGCAATCTCCTGAGCTGACTCCCGTGCCGGTGCTCGTGCTGTGATCTTTTCGTGCTGGCGCTCAAGCCAAGAGGAGATCCAAGCTCGTGAATCCGCGGAGGTGAACAAAGGCTGGCGTAGTGGGATGGAGGCGCTGGAGAATAAAGAAACACATGGTTACTCGTGAACTCAAAAATACTAGCGAGACAATACATGTACTCAAGCTAGCGGCCGAATGTACCACTCGTGGAGTTGGCAGCCATCTGGCACTGAAGCACAGATGGAACGGAGGCTTTATCCAGCACATAACGAAGATGATGAGCTGCAGCTATGCCCCGCCCAGCCTGAGAACTTAAAACACACACAATCTCTCCACATCCAAAACCTGCCAGCAAATACAAAATGCAGTTAAACACAACACAATCACCACAGGTGTACTGTCGCTCCAGGACAATGTGTTCATCCACACAGCACAGGTGGCAGATGCAGCCAAATGGCTTTGAACTGCCGTCCAATGAAACGTACTCACCTGCATCTGGTTCCCCAACTGAAATCTCCCTTGTATGGTTGTCATTTTTAGAGTGATGATGAGGTCGTGCATGCTGTTTAGGAGTAGCTGGAGGCTCAAGTTGTGACTGTCTTTCTCAAAGGGATAGCAAAGCTTGAACACTGGTGGACCTACTGCATTGAAGTTGAAGGAGACTATGTTGAAAAATAATGCAAGAACAATCTCTTTACTCTCTTCCTACATGTTTGATGAGGCCAAGAACTTTTTGAAATACCCTTTTCAACCAATAGCCAACTTTCAGTCATCAGTCTATCAAAGTCCTGAAGTTTGCAGACAGCACCACCCTCCTTGGACTCATGTCTGGGGGGATGAATCAGCCTACAGATGGAAGATTGACACTGTGGTGATCTGTTGTAGTCACAACAACTTGGAGCTCAATG